AGACCATTATCTCTCCCCCCCCCACACCATTGTAAGAACATAGCTGTTTAAATTTCTCTTTACTTGTCTCTAAATGTCTGACATAAACTGGAGCTGGGGTGCATGAAACATTCAGTATTTGCTGGTCTTGTGTTGATCTCATTAATTAGCACAGTAATTAATACCAGACATATTTATTAATGGATACTTTGGATTCTCTTGACAGCCCTGCTCCATCTCCCTCACTCTCACAATCAATCACTAAATGATGATGATTGTTCCTATTCCTCTCCCTCTTTTTGCAGATTTCTCTGTGAAATGTCCAGTTGTTTGCATTGTATCATAATCAATCACTTATATGTCTTTCTGAGACAATGAATTGAAGACAGGGATCAAGTCTTACTGTACCAGAACAGGTCTCCTGTTTACTCGATGGTCAGTAAATATTTGCTGATGAATAATCCTTTGCCTTCTGTCCACCTCAGAAATAGACTCACCTGAAATTCTTTTGTCTTTATTTTTCCTGGTATTTGATTCCCACTAACCACTGAGCCTGTCTCCCAAGTCTGCATAAAAGCTTAGCCCACATACAATTGAATGTGGTACTCTTGTCTGTCTCCCATAGCTTCTGTTTGGAGCTGCAGAACATTGAGACTATTTCCAAAATGACATCGTTCTGTATCACTCAGCACATAAAAGGACCATCCTCCCCCATGCCACTGATTCCTACCCTGTTCAAGCACCTTCCTGCCAGCTTAGTCCCAGAGTCGCATCAGTCCCAAAGAGAGACTCTATTAGTTATAAACCTGTTGGCCAATGGTTAGAGCTTCTTATTGGCTAGCTCTGTCTTAGCTATTAACTCATTTCTATCAATCTAAGTGTTTCCACATGGTCTTATCTTACCAGAGAGAGTGTCCGGACCCCTTACTCCTACATTTGATCCTATATTTCTACTCCTCTCTACTACATCTCCCAGAATCCTCCTTGTCTCCTAGTCCTGCCTGTCTTCCTTTCCTATAGGCCAAAAGTGTTTTATTCATTAGCCAATAAGAAAAACATGTACAGAATGAGATCTCCCATCATCTCTTTTCTGTCTAAATAAAAAGGAGTTTAACTTTAACATAGTAAAATATATAACAAAATAGTTACCAAATAAGAACTACAGTTAACAATATTTAGTCCGTTAACATTATCAGGAATTAACATAATCTATCCTCTATCCTATCTTTGTGAGTTTAAAGTCTTATATGTAACTTTTCTTTAATCCTAACCAAAGAAAATTAACCACAACTGTCTGCACTGACCACGCCCATTGGGGTGTGGGGACAGGTATGGGTGTGACCTGGATATCTCACTACATTACTCTTCTGTCCTCATTCTCCCAGCAGACAAGCTCTCTGAGACAGCCTAATTGTTTTCTTTATCTCTTTTATTGTTTCAGTCAGTGCAATGAGTTTTGGAGATGTGAAGTTTTCCTAACAGTGAATTACCCATTCCCTCCCTTGAGCCGTTTCTTGAGGGGGCTGCAAACACTTAGTTACAGATTTGAGTTGCTAGAAGATACCCTTTATGATCACTTTGGTGTTGAGTCCCCAGAGCCAGTAGCATACCCTGGCCCCAAGACAGTATTAACAAATCTGTTTTCATCACCTAGCTCTGGCTAGCAATCCAGGGAGTCTAGAATTAGCAAGAAGTCTCCCAGTAGCCCTCTAAGGAACACAGTAAACCAGAGAGGGCTGGATAGGTACCTCTGGAATGCATTCTTTCTCTGCTTTGAAATCTCCATCATTCTAGAGCCCCACCTCCTCCCAAGTGCTAGCCTCCATTTACATGAGTGTTCCTTATGCACAGAGAATTTTAGAGTGTTGTGTGACAACAGTCAGTCCAGTATCGTAATTGTTTTAAGACAGAATCTCACAACTTACTTAGCCTTGGCTAGCCTGGAGCTCATTATGTAGAACAGACTTGCCTTGAACTCTAGGTGTGCCTGTCAATGCCTCCACATGCAAGTCTCCTCCTGAGTCTCAGGGCAGAGGACAGCAATTCATGAGCAAACCAGAATCTTCTATTGCATAGCAGCAAACTGGCCTTTTCAAGACCAGGGGAGTCATACAAACTCCTGCATTTGACATCAGTGCTCAGAGTGTTATGGTATTTACAAACAAAGGGGGTGGGGTGGTGCCAGCACCTGGGAGAGAGCCAAGCTCTGAAAGGTCCCACAAAGTGGGGCCTGGAACAGATATGTCATAGCTGCTGCCATTTGCTTTTGGATATGTGAGTTTACCTGTCCTAATCTTAACCAGGAGGGAAAAGGGGGGCACTGAGAGAATGGATAGTGGCAGCTGTTTCTTTTGCGCCCTGAGTCTCATTTCCTGAAATGTTCCCCTGAGATTTCTTGTACTTTTTCTTTGACTTTCATGTAATATATAAATTTCCACTTAGAATTCGAGGAGTTTTTGTTGTTGTTTTGCTTTTGTTTTATGATGGATGTTTTATAATATGCAGTAGAGTCTAGAAACAGCAACAACAACTAAGTGTGTCCACTAAAAGAGACTCCCTTCTAAGCGACAGGTATGTGAGTCTGGTTGAGTGAGTGGCAGGTGAGGAAAGGGGTTAGCCTGGCTTAATGCCTGCCTAGGAACCATTTATTTCTTTATAGCTTTGCTGGGAAGGGATTTAAGCTGTCAGGTACCTGGTGTCTGAGATGTGCTCTGCATGAAAACTAACCTCTGGCATTCCTAGATGTGTGCCATTTCTTGAGGAAGCTTCAACCACTTAGTAAGAAACAGACCTTTCGGTAGGACATTTGGTGCTTCTTAGGATGGATTTGTGGTTGGGGAATAGATCTCTTTCAGTAAGGTGTGGTTTTGTCTTGTTGCTTTCAGAACTGAGTGTGTAGAAAAGGGTAGTGTCTATCAAGAGGGTTCAGAGTTCTGGGGCTGCCGGCTGGCTGTGCTCAGCCCAGGCTGGAACAATGTTCACAGGAGAGTGGAATGTTTGGAGCTTCAATGAGTGTGTGGTGTAACTGAGTCTCGGGTCTTAAACACAGACACAATCTAAGAAATGGTAAACAACCCTGCTTTTGACAGAAAGAATGAGAAGTTGACAGTCCATTGTGGGCCCCGGGTGGGTTCATCAGCAGAAGGCAAAGGGATAAAGGAGTAGAGATAAAGGAACTAAGACAATGCATGGGTTGTGTCTTCCCTGTCTTCCTTTGTCTCCCCATACACACCTGGGGGTGAACCCATGGAGGCTTGTGTAGATTGCTCCTCTTTTCCTTTTGTGTTTTGTGTGTGTGTGTGCCTGGCAGATTTATCTACAAAAGGTTTCTCTCTATCTTAAGGAATATGTAGTGGGGGGCAAACAGGGCAACAAATAGTGAAAGGTATCTTAGCGAGGCAGGGGTGGGGAGTGTGGGGGTGAGTGTTCAGGCGCTGCCCTGCTGTCAGGGAGGTGGCTCCCTCACAGTTGGCCAAGAGGCCAATGGGACGATGGCTGATCTTAGTTTGGTCAGATGTTAGTTTTTACAGGATTAGTCTGTGTCCCACCTGGGGGAACCATGCTTTGGATAATGAGGTGTCCGTCAGATGGGCAGAAGGCTTGCCAGATGACTGTCCCATCTTTGCCTACGAAGAAAGAGAGTCCTTGGTTTTCATCCCATTCTTAAGGGTGGGCCCCACAGGTTTCCTCCTAGTCTTCACAGGCAGCTGCCCCTTGTGTGAGTCAGTGTTGTTGCATTGACACCACAGAATCCCAATGAGTGTACTGATGGCGCTGCCCCTCTCCCCTCCCCCCTCCCATTTCCCCAGGACTTGCCATTAAAGCTCCTGGGGTTAAGATTCCTGCTATCCATTTCCATCATCTTCCCTCAGAACTGCAAACTTAAAAATACCTTTCAGAGAAACTTGTTTGGAATTTCATTTTAATGGGATTTGTGAATAAATCTCCATCTTAATGCTGACTAAGCTCCAAACGGCTCTTCCAGGAGAACACTATCGGATTTTTATATTTTAAATTTTAAATCTCTTGACTCCAAAGGCATAAAACATTTTTGTATTTGTGGGAGTGCCATGTGCCTGAGCACTCCTGCTAAAGACGGACTTTTTTTTTTTTAATGTTTTGGCTGGTGTAAAGAATTCTGGTCTGCAGAAGGGGACTGTTGCATCATCAGCCCCTTCCCATGTAGAAGCCTGTGTGTATTTCTCTGGTTCACCTGCCCCACCTATGAGGATGGATGTTCTGTGGTTTCCTTAAGAGATAAAATAACTCTACTTTCTTCCTTCACACTGGAACTTTTAACCTCAGAATTTCATTTTTAAATGCCACGAGCCCTCAAAGTCAGACTCAAATAATTGTCTCTGTCACTCTACATGAGCTTCCCACCTGTGGGATGAACATTGCAATGCAGGTGAGAGTTGGTCCCTCCCCAACCCCTACCCCCAAAAGAAAACCTACTCAGGACTGACCAGATGATGCTGGCCAGAAGAGACAACTCCAGGTAGAAGGTAGAGATGGCTCTGGGGGTGGGGCAGGTGCCACAGTTAATGCTGGAAGATGCCCTTGGAATCTAAGGTCTTACGAGTGCCCACCACACACCAGAGGAAGGGTGTGAGTTGATGAACTTAGTCGTCGTAATTGCTTATTGGTGTGAGCTGTGTGTATGTGTGTGTGCCTGTGTAGGATAGTGGTCAGCATTGCTTGTCTTCCTCAGTTGCTGTCTGCATTGATTTTTTTTGAGGCAGGGTGTGGCTAGACTAGCTGGCCAGTAGTTCCAGGTACCCTCCTGTCTCACTTTCCCACTGCTGGGATGGCAGGTCTGCTATGCTCTGTGAAAGTGCTGGCAAGAAACTCATCCTCTCACAAGCAGCATCAGCTGCCCAGCCCCATTAGGTGTGATCTGTTTTGCCAATCGTGACTTAATAAAAGTGGTAGGGGAAACTGGGAGGTGAAGGGCTTCCAAGCAAGTAACACTTCACCCTGTGTCCTCTGTGGTCCAGGTCACTGTTCCTGTCTCTCCACAGATTCTTCTTACTCGGAGCCCCCGATGTTCAGCAACAGTTGAATCACTACCAGTCAGCCGCCCTGGCAAGAAACAACAGCCGTGTGAGCCCGGTGCCTCCTGCTGGGACTGTGGCTGGCACAGAACAGAAGGCAGAAGCTGTTCTGCACTGTGAATTCTGTGAATTCTCCTCTGGCTACATCCAGAGCATCAGGCGCCATTACCGGGACAAGCATGGAGGCAAGAAGCTATTCAAGTGCAAAGACTGCTCCTTTTATACGGGCTTTAAGTAAGTGGCATGAAGAACAGTTACAGAAAACCAAAGGGGCTGCCCCTGCGCCAGCCCTCGCCACGCTCTTCCCTTACATCTCCCTGTCTACAGATCCAGGAAGGTTCTGTCAGTGTGTGAAATAAAGGTTGGGTTCAGTCTTCACAGAAGGAAGCTAGTTTCAGAAAGACTACTTTGGGACCTGTGGAAGTGGGTAAAGAGTTACTTAAGGACAAATGATCAGAACATATGGGCTTTTAAAGAATGTGGGATTGGATCAAAGGTCCAGTGCACGGAACAGGATGCATTTTTCTTTCAGAGAACATCCCCTTTTCATTTATGCGCGCGCGTGTGTGTGTGTGTGTGTGTGTGTGTGTGTGTTTTAAACCCTAAACCCTAGGTCTCGCACCCCCTCCCCGAAGCAAATGTAGATGCATTATGGAAATGTGTGAGAGCACTTGTTAGAGGAAGATTGCCAAAGGGGAACACCTGCTCCCTTCCTTAATAGGAGCGCTTACCATTTATTATGTGTGTACCCACCCACACCACCATGCACATGTGGGGTTGCAGGAGGACACGGGAGGTCCCACGTTTGCAGGGGTCACTTCTCCTATCTTGTGGGGATTGTCGTCAGACTTGGCAGCAAACACCTTTTCCCACTGAGCGTACCTGCCCACGATGCACTTGTTAAGGAGACATTGAAGATTTTGTCAAGTTCAAAGGTATGAGGTGGGTGGAGGAAGAGGCAGCAGCAGCAGGGTTCCTTCCTCTCTCAAGCTACTCTATTTCTGAGTTGAGGGAATCTAGTCAGAGTCACCAGGACTGACACCGAACCTGTTCTCACACTCTCCATGTGACGGTGTGAAGACTCACATAGGCAATTAATGAGTCAGCCAAGATTTAAAACAGTTCTTCCAATACCCAGTGTGAGACAGAGTTGATCCTCTTGAGAGGTTTTGTTTAATTATTTAATAGGCAGTTTCTGTGTGTCTGTGCATGTCTGTGTGGTGCTGGGCACTCTATCCAGGGTCTCACTAAGTTATCCAGGCTAGCCTTGAACTCATTCTAGCCTCAAACTTGTGATCCTCCAACCTCAGCCCTCTGAGTAGCTGCCATTTACAGACAAGCTCCACCAGATGTGGCTCAGTAGGCAATGTCAAATGTGCAAGAATGATGTATTTATTTCCTTTTACGCAAAAACTTGATCCCAGCCAAGTAGCAAAAGTTCTGAATAGTTGCCACTGTATCTCTGTGTTCATCGTTGGGTTAACTGGCCAAGGAGATTGTAGTCAGCAAATGTAAAGTTTAGGCTTCTCAAGCAGGAAAACCACATGTGGACGTCTGCAAGAGGTGTGCCAGCAGGAGGGAGACATATTAGTGACAGTTTGTCATGGTCTCTGTCCCTTCTCTCTCAGATCTGCTTTTACTATGCATGTGGAAGCTGGGCATTCGGCGGTCCCGGAGGAAGGCCCCAAAGATCTCCGCTGTCCTCTCTGCCTTTATCATACCAAATACAAACGAAACATGATCGACCACATAGTCCTACACCGAGGTAAGCTTCAGGCTGGCTCAGTTTACTTGTGTCCTGGAGGGGAGGTAGCATTCTAAGGATGCTCCCTGTGCGCCACAGCAGCCTCACCCTCTTCCCTAAGCTTTGTTCCTCCAGGCAGGAGTCATTGACAGTCACTGATATCCAATGAATAAGGCACATGCCAGTGGAATTCCTTCCTGGAGGGAGGGGTGGAGATGGGGGTGGGGAATTCTCAGGAACCCTTCCGTCAAGGTTCTGGGGATCAGGAATTTCCCATGCAGAATCCCTTGCTACCAAGGGACTCTAGCTATGTGTATTGTGAACCTGGGGAAGGAAGGCATAATAAAAAGACAGAAAAGATGCTTTCCAAAGGACACAGTGAACTTTGCTTTGAAATGGACAGGGAGAAAGAGTTACAAAAAAGAGAAGTGGTCTGCTGGGCAGAACACCCATGGATTGGTTGCTGGGTCGTTCTGGTTTGGATCCTGATCTGTATAGCTTCTCTGTAAGACACCTTCATTCTGTGGTGGGGTTCCAATGTGGATGCACAGTGGTGGGTCCTTGAATGAACATTCCAGTGATCAGCAGGGATCTGTATGAGAGCACTTGGGTTGCTTTACTTTTTGTTTTGCATTTCTGAAACAGGGTCTTTCAATGCAATCCAAGTTGGCTTCAAACTTGAAATCCACCTGCCTCAGCAACTTCCTGGAGTTGCTGGGAATAGAGACAGGCCTGGATTATGCCACTTGGACTTTTTATATTTTTGAGCTTTCACTTGATCAATTAAAACATCACTAGCCAATGGGAGTCCTTTGTAGTGGAAGGAAACATGCCGATGATGCAGTTTGGCCAAAAGATCCTCCTGTTGCGGGTGGGTGGAGAAAGGAGTACCCACTGCCATCTTGTTTGTCCTGCAGTCTATTCATCTTTGCATCCCTTCCCGTCCCTTGCCTCCCACCCTTCCTGTCTTCCTCATCTTTCTTTTGCCTCCAATCTTGGAAAGCTTTCCAGTATTTGCCACTCACGCCCAAAGCAGCATGTGCCATCTACTATCCTGCCTCGGTGTCCCTCAGATGCCAGGGTGGAGGCATCTGTAAGGTGGCTTACATTTCCCCAGCAGCACTACCTTTAGGCAGCAGTATGCCTGTGATGTGCCTCTGTCTGTTCAAATCTCATGGAAGATGCAACAGCTGCAGTGCTCTGTTTCTTCCTTCCATTGCTATTTAAGAGATGGTAGCTGGCTGGGCCAACCACCTGTAAGCCAGGCAAAAGCAGCGCAGCAGTATTTAGGCAGGAATTCTTGGCCCTCAGCTTCCTGCCTGGTGTTTTGCCTCAGTCACCTGGCTTCTGGTCCCCCAGCCCATGTGTTTCAGTAGCTGTGTGCCCCATCCCAGCTTGGGTGGAGGCCATCAGTGGAGCTGGTGCCCAGAGAACATCAACGCTGAGTCCTTGCTGGCTGCAGTGAATCGTCACTGGCTGCAGTCATTTCCCATATTGCTGCCTGGTGGGATCAGTGCTTTGATGGCTGACAAGCTCAATGACTTTCCCGGTCTGAGCTTAGACTTAGGAAGAGAGAGACATTCTGCGCAGAGGCCAGGAACACTTGACAAAGAGCTCCCGGCACCCAGTTGTCTCATCATCAGCACTGTAGGCAGCACCAGCATCACATGGCCTCCTGTTTTGTAGATGTGAAGCTCAAAGCTGAGGATGACTATGGGGGGTTTTGCTTGTCTGTATCCCTTTTGCTTTTTAACCCAGTGTATTTATTGGAGCTCTGCTTCATTTCACAAAGGATTTAAAGTAGCTCAGAGTCATTCCCGCAGAGTTGTTGCACCAAAAACAAATGAAGGCTAATGTGCAAGGCAGTGGGGCCGATATAGAAAGTGTAACTGACAATAGGAATGGTTTCAGCAGCAGTTGGAGATGCCTCGAATGTACACAATCCCCATCTTTCATTATTCATGCCTGCACATTTGGCCTTGGCATCTTTGCTTATCATGAGGGAAAGAAACAATCATTTGGATTTGTGATGTTTATTAAATAATTTCCCACTATCTAGACAACTGGAGTCTAGAAAGAATCTCTACAGTGAACAAACAGGGATGTTACAATGTATAGTGGGTCCATCATACATACAGTGCATGTTGAATGCCCCATAATATGAAATGCCGGAGACCCTAAGTGTTTCAGAGTTCTGAAATATGCAGACTTTGGAATATTTGCATTGAATGTCATTTAAATATCCTTTACCCAATCACGTAGGTGCTGACAAAGTTTTGGATTTGAATCAGTCTTTTCCATGGGGCCGTAGAGAGCTAAAGTAACTTAGCGAGGGTTACTCATCCAGCAGTCATGGAATCGGTCCCAGTCTTTTGTTATGTCTCATGCCATTCCCGGTCATTGGTGGTATTGTCTCTTCTGTTTGCTTAGGGTGAGAGTTTCCTGGATGTGTGAATATTGTGAATATGGTCCCAATATGTGCAGCTAAGGATCAGTAGTGACACCAAGAGCTGTGACTGTCATTAGTGAGTGTTTACTCAGCCATGGGCACCATGCCGAATGCTTTACAGTAAGCTCACCAAACCCAGCATGGTCCATATGACTGTTAGCCTTGATGACAACCAACAAAAACAGGTTCAAAAAAACCTGAGTAACTTCCCTACGGTCCAAGGACTCTTGGGTAACAGGCTGGAATTGGAGCCCAGGTGTATGTGACCCACAGCACTTGCTTTGAATCCCAGGCACCAATACTCTCTTACCCTTGGGAAGCTGGTGTCACCTGTTCAGTGTTCTATAGACTGTGAAAGTTAGGTCTAAGGATAGAACTCTTTGTAGGGCTAGAGGTCAAAGGTGGGGGACCCCAATCCACAGGCAGCAGAGGGCTCTAAGACAGCTGTACCTGCTGATTTCTGGCTCTGGTGTCCATCTCCACTTGAAGGGAGATCAGAGAGAACCTGGTCTTGGCATCTCAACATGCGGTCAGATGTCTGCCTTGCAGATCAACACTGGGCTGATCCCAGAGTAATAAGATGAGGCTTCTGCACCTGTGCACTGCCTGCTCCAGATGAATAAACATCTTTGGTCTCTAGGGTCCACAGCATGAGATGTTTCTGAGGCCTCAGTTAATTAAAAACCTTGGGATGAAAGGCAAGAAAAACAACTTCTGAACTGGCCCTAAGACAGACCTGCTACTGGCAAGGATAGCTGCCATCTCTTTTTGTTGGGACACAGTGATGCATTTAAGTAGGGGGAGGAGGGGAGAGGAATCCAACCATGGAAGTCAGAATGAGAACTAATCAAGGATGTGTCCTGGCCATGGCAAAGGGAACATACTACTGATTCATAGGTTCAGCAAACACTCATTGTTTGCTTGTTACCTGCTGCACTCTGTGTGGCTGTTTGTGGGTGATGAATTATAAAAAAAAAAAAAAAAAACCATACTTGGCCTCCTCAAGATAAACACAAGCAGAGAATATCCAAGACAGTGAGTGATGGGTGTCTAGGAGCCCTGCTTACATTCTGGAAAGAGATAAGTCATGGACAAAGGTGGATTTCTGACTGAGCCATGGTAGCATTTCACAGGGAAGACTTAGGTGGGCTACATTGAGATACATGGCTACCAACTCAGTGGCTTTAGATAGGTATAGAGGCTAGTTATAGAGGCTAGAATTATCAGCAGGGTTGTGAATCATGTAAAACATCAAGAACACCATCCTTGATGGGATTAAGAGGGTACAACTCAGTGATAGGTCACTTTCCTACCCTGTGTGAAGCTCTAGCTTTGATTCATATCATGTCCTAGTTCCTTGGTGTTCTTTGGTATCCTTAGCTTATAGTGGCATTCATCCAACTTCTGCTTCCTTCTTCTCAGGGCCTCATTCCCAGTGTTTCTTTCTGTGACTTCTCATGTAAAAACACCAGGCATTGAATTTTAAGCCAGTCCTAACCTAATGTGACCTCTCTCATCTTAATTACATCCAAAACCTCTATTCCAATAGTTATATTCTGGGGTTCCAAGTGGACCTAAACTTGGGGAACACTATCAACCCCTACTTGAGCTGGTAATTCATTAATAAACCATAGTACCCACTGAAAGCAAGACCTATTGGCAGCATGGCTTCAGACTATTCCTAAAGAGAAAAGGAAGCCTTAAAGAAAATGTGTTCTGGAGGATCTAAAGGTAGATGCAGAAGTTTGACCTTTATTTAATAGACAGGAAAAATCTTTTTAAATCAGATTCAGTTAGACACCTGTTAAATTAGAATTTAGCCAAGGTTGAACGAAGGGATCATTAGACCTATCTCTTTAAGAGCTATGGATTTAGATCTGCCAACATCTGGTGAGACTTGGAGGTTTAACTTGGAAGTTTGTTTCATGAACTCCTTTGATAGGACTTTGGGTGAGTTTTCATTTGAGCAATGGATTTGTAGCATACCTACTGGTGTTTTAAGAAATAGGGCAGCTCAGCCATGATGAACTAGACAACATTTGTTGTCCGAGGGAAGTTGAGCTTTAGCAGGAAGAGACCTACTAAACATGTGAATGAAGCTTCATGATTGCATGGCTGTGAGAATACAACCATTGGAAGCATGGTGCCTGTACACAGCTTGGCCAACTGTGCCTTGTACCTTTATAGCAAGCCTGAAAATTTGGGCACAGATTGAATTGTAGGGCTGAAAGCCTTTTGACAAGTCTCTACGTTGTGATTTTGTAGCTGTGTGATCAGTGGTTGCTCCTCAGTTGGCATGTTAATTTCAAGGTTCTGTGTGTTGTTTTAGTAACTAAAGGCTGCCTGAAGCTCTAAGCCTTGAAGGTGGGCATCCGGAATGGAAGCCATCTCCCCTAACCTTGGTTTTAGGAGAAAAAATCAATCAGACTGAGAGTGTTATTTAGATTTAGTGAAATTATGTTCCCTCCCATCTGTATCCTTACCTGATAGAGGTATTAACTGTTCCCAGCTCTGTCTAGAAAATGGCTAATGTCAAAACCCAATAGCTCTTTATAGCTTGTGCTTATATATCTATTTGTGGTTTTATATTAGAATGCTTTGAAAAATAATGATGTCCTTTTCTTTTCATTCTCCCCTTGCTATTCTTCCAACTTCTCACATTCCCCCTTCTTCTCCTCCTCCTCTTCATCCCCCGAAACCCCGAAACAGAGTCATATAGAGACCGACCTGACCTGAAACTTAGTACCTTGCCCAGGCTAGCCCCAAACTCTCTTGCCTCCTTCTACCAGATGTGCTGACACGGGACTAGTGTTGCTTTCTTAATGGTTTTCTCTGCTCTCTGGCCTTTGTCACTCGGTCGCTCACCAAAGAGTAGTGAGTGGGTCTTTGGGCTCAATTTTCTGGGTTGATGGCTTTGCACACAAAGTTTGTGGTGTAAAGGAATTCCAGAGATTTTGCTGCTTTTCTTTAAGATTTGGGGTATTCTCGGAAGGGAACTCAAGAGTGTTGCAGAGCTCTTTCCAGAAGAGCTCTTACGTGGTGACTCTGGGCTCCACAGTCTTGAAATTTCTTGCTGAAAAGTGACCCTCAGCAAGAAATGACCCCTTGTTTGCATTTCTGCAGCTTTTCTACTGAACTGCTTGGCAGCATACTCAGCTCTGCTCTTGCTACAGCTAAGGTCACAGGTGTTTCGGATATTTTCACTCCAGTTCCAGGTCTCACTGAAGCAGTGAGTGCCAGTTGAGTAGGAGGAGATGAGGTTGACCATCCATCTGTGGTAAACTGGTGGCATCACCATATTTTTTTGCCACCTTCACTGGGAGCTGGCTGGGTCATGATGGATACAATTAAGGCCATTTCTTATCCAGGGTAATTTTGAGAAGTGTGAGGTCAAGAAAGACCCATGAGTTCTCATAGAAATAGAACTCTATAGCCAAGGCAGGATCCAATCCATATCTGGAACATTCCAGCCTAGCTTGCCAGGTCATGATAATATACATTTATATAAGTAAGGGATTTTGTCCATTTTAACTTGTATCTTAGTTTGGAGGTGGGAAGTCTTTTATTTCATTTTTTTTTTTAATTTTTAAAATTTCATTTAGTTATTTATTGGGGGGGATTGTGTAAACCTTCAAGTAATAATACTAATATTAACTGATATTTCCATATACAACACTGTAACACCAAATAGAGCCTGTTGCACAGCAAGCTTTTAATCAATTGTAAAGTTATTTATGAGTTATTATCACTACTGGCATTTGAACTCCAGGGCATGTCTTTGAATGCTTAGACCTTTGGGTAAAATTCTTAATGGCGCATCATGAAATTAGGAAGTGTAAAGAAAGCTAATCAAGGTGGTAGGGGGAATTGAAAGGGAGATCCGTAAGAAGGGGGTTTGGGAGAACCAATCATTGACTGTGGGAAACGGACTGTCGAGTGACTGAATGCTGCCCTCGTGGCGTTTGTGGCGTTTGAGGCATTGTTACATGGAAAAGTGTGCCCAGCTGTTCCTCATCGCCAAGGAGGTTGACAGATCTAGGGCAGATGGGCCAGGCTGGAGCCAAAGAATAGAAGAGGAAGCAGTAAAGATGACAAGATAAATCAGGGACAAGTATAGCGGGAACAGGAGGGCTGCAGCCTCAAGGGAGTGCCAAAAATGTTCATGGCAGCCCTTTCCGCGAGTTCAACCTCAGTGTGCCTGTTGGTCCCTGTTGCGGCTGTTACCCCTCTTCCCCTAGGCAGCAGTTAGGCTCTACCGTATGTAGAGCCACAGAAGTTCATGCCTGGTGTTACTGAATGTCCTTCCAGCCTCACAAAGGGTGCACCACCCTGCTGCGATTTGGGGCTATCAGTGGAAGGAGTGCTAGAAGAATCTGGTGGGTGAAGCCTGTTGAAGCTGCTAAGCATAATACAATCCATGGGTCAGTGCCCCCACAACAAAGAATGGTCTAGCTCCCAGATGTCAGCCATTCTTCTCTTAAGAAATCCAGGAGTAAAGGGGGGGCCTTACACTCTCTGAGGAGCAATTGGGGGGGTGGAGCGGGAGGAGAGGTGGGAGGGCAAACTGGGATTGGAATGTAAAAAATAAATTAATTTTAAAAAAAGAAGACTCAAGAAATCCAGGAGTAAGGGGGTAGGGGAGTAGAAGATGCTAACATGGACTTCTTCAGGGTAACTAGTTTATGCCAAGACATCCCCCCCCCCGTCCGTTTACACCAAACTGTGGAACTGAATGGCTTAGAAGACTGTTAAACATTTGCTATTCTAAGAAAATGTGTGGATTACTTTATAATCATGTGTTTCTTAGCTGTCTGCTATACTTCAGTTTAAAAATATTTATGTTTCTAAATAAGCAAGTGACTCTTTGTATAGAGAAAATAACATATGCATTAGATCTCTGGGGGAGTATGTTACAGACACCACCCTTCACGCTTTCTCTGCCCAGCATTTTGCTGGCCGATGAGGTGCTACATTCAAGGGCTCCAAGGCAGTGAGTGCCCCACAGTTCGAATGCTGTGGTTGAGATGAAGACATGGTGTTGGGTGGGGGGAAACTCCCTGGGGTCTGATTGCAGCCAGTCACGAAAGGGAAGCTGGAGGAGGCAGTAGCATCCACGTGCAAAAGACTAACATCGCTACTCGGTGTCTCTGGAAATCATGCTTTTCTGACTTAATAATACATTGCTGTGTCTAAATAATATAAGTATATGTTGTGTGCATCCATTTGTAAACTTCCAGAGTCTTCTGAAATCCAGACTCAGCATGAAAACACATGCTATATTTGATTCTTGCATATATAGCACAGATTTTAATTTTATCCCAGTTATGGATATCTGGCACGTGTGCCAATACTCTGGGCAGACTGGTGTGAAATTTAATTTGAGCAGTTAAACACAAGGGTGAGAGAGTGCAAAATACACAAGCGCATGCATTTCCAGCCCTACAACAGTTGGCGCGTGAGTGGGAGAGGCACCCAAGTCCGCTCGCTCTTCCCTGCTTTCGGTTTTCTTCCTCCTGTGGCAGTCAGATCACAGAGTTCCCTAGAGTGGCACACATCTTCAGTGGTTTGGGGGGGGGCCCACCTCTCCACCATGCTGCCCATAGTCATTTCACTTGTAAGCTAAGTGTACTGTTTGGTTGGTTTCTAGATTTACTGTTCTATTTGAGATCCCCTGGCTGTTCTATTTCAGAAGGGCATCTTTGAGAATGCTTCTGGAGGGGAGCGGTCAGGAGTGGGGGTAAAGGGGATGGGCATGTATAGAAGCAGCAGTGAGGCCAACCTGGGTTCATGGCTCAGCTCTGTCCATTGCAATGTGTCAGTGAACTTTGGGACATTTTTCAAGCTTATCCTTCACTGGAGATGTACCTCAGTGATAGAGGGCTTGCCAAGCATGTCTGAGATCCTAGCTTTCATCCCCAGGGTATAAGTAGGGTGTCGTTCCTTATTCTGAAAACGGGAGTAACTCTAGCCATGGTGTCATCAGAAGGCGACCACAGTAGTGGTACTTAGGTTCCTGGTTAAGATACATTTCCTTCCCCTCAGAGGTACCTGGCATCCAGCCATCATCACACTTGCTGTAGGATATTATAATGATTTTTTGTCAGTGGTTATTAATATTGGTAAAGATGGCAGACACTTCTGTGCCCTACCTGTCTTCATCACCTCCATTCAGAAGTTATGTAACACCTTTCTACCTGCCCCATATGTATTTATACACCGTTCCTGGTATTAAGCACACTGAAACTTTGGTCTTCCAAGTACCCAGTTGTGCTGGAGGATTATGTGCCATGTGGGGAAGTCAGGGAGGGACAGTGTGCATGTGTGTGCTCACCGACCAAGACCCCCAGGAAGTATTGGAATTGAATGGGTCCATTTCTCAGGTCCCAAAGAAGGAACATCTGCTTTCCATCAGTAAAAACGCCCATCTCTCCATTCGATTTGTTTCCACAGAAGAGCGAGTTGTCCCCATTGAAGTGTGCCGTTCCAAACTGTCAAAATACTTGCAGGGAGTAGTTTTCCGCTGTGATAAGTGTACCTTCACCTGCTCCAGTGACGAGAGCCTCCAGCAACACATAGAAAAGCACAATGAACTGAAACCTTACAAATGCCAGCTCTGCTACTATGAGACCAAGCACACGGAGGAACTGGACACTCACCTTCGGGATGAGCATAAGGTACTTGCCCAGGACTTCCTGCCTCCCCCACCCAGCTCAGTACTCCTGTGGGGAGGGCCCTGGTGGGGAGATAGGTCAGGGTATGGGGAAAACAGGTCACTGAAGTCATACCTACCGTGTGCAAGACAGGAAGATGAATTAAAACAATTACAGTGAACCCTCATTTTCTTAGAGTAAACGAAATATAAGATCATTGTAGACCTTGTTAAAAAAATAGATGGGGTGAATAAGTCACTCATACCTCCACCATCTAAAACTTTGGGTGATCTTTTCTATACTTGCTTTCATTTGTTTTACATAATTTTATTTATACTATATAAAAAAAAAAAAACCTCATCTTGCTTTTTTGTTTTTATACTGACTAAAATTTTTCTGTCTTATTTTAAATCTGTTTAGTTATTAGCATTGGCAGATTCCCTGTAAAAGGCAGTCAATAACTCTGTTGGGCTTTGTGGGCCATATATGATTTCAGTGGCAATTGCTCAAACCCACTATGACTATAACAAGAAAGCAGCCATGGGCAGTGCATCAGTGAATTAACACAGTAGTGTTCTAATAAAACATTATCCAACAAATAATGACAGTCATTGGGCCCTTAGTTGCCAACCCCTTAACACTTAGTCATGTAAGTTCTTTCCAGGGTTTTGCTAATTACAGTGAATTTCCAAAGCTTTACTATGTATATCAGAACCATATAAGAAATTGATTTTTTTTTAATGAATTAGGAAGGACATATGATGGAGATTGTGGTGTAAATTTTCTTCCATGGCTCTCTTACTTAGTGTAGGGTTTATTTGGCTTACTGTGGCTCTAGGTGATTACTCCAGGTTCTGCATATGGTCCCAAGCACAGGAGTTATGATTAGTATTTGTTAGAGTTCAAAACATCTATTAAGTGTTTTCTCAAGACATTGATGCCGTTTCCATATTTCTCGTTCTGTAGCCTCTTCAGCAAAAACTCAACCATCCTTTCTTAGCCTTCCAGTCCCAAGATAAAATAATTTGGTCTGAGTCATCTCTTCGTAAGGGCTAGAAATTTTCTGCTGGGTCCTGAGCTTTGTCTCAGGTCCACAATTTGATGGCTTGAAGGCAGCTTCTGGTTGCCCATGACTACCCCTGAAGTAAAAGCTGAGAATGAAAGCCTAGATTACCTCAGTGGAAATTTCCATAGCCTTTAAAGCTTTTTCTGCCTTCCTGGGCATTTCTCATCCTAACTCAGGGGGAAATGTATTTCAGACCAAGCTTCTTGTAGTCATTCATGTGCGCATCATTTATGCACAGTCATCCTTTTATTATAGCATTCAAGCCTTCAGGCTGGTATCTGGGAACAGGGCAAGTCAGGAAGAGAAATTCTTCCCCAGCTATCGCAGTGACTTCTAAACTACCAGGAAATCCAGACAATGTTAGAAGCCAAATAATGGAGCCAGAGGCTTCGGAAGCAGGGCACTGAAGGCTGGTGCTCAGGAATGTGGACTTGGGTAGCAAAGTTCTCCACAAAGATGGACCAATTTTAGGACTTTTAGAACAAAGAAAGCTGAGTAGTAAATTGCTCTGTTGCTTCTTGTGTATGCATTAGGAAGCTGCTTCAGCATGAGGGGTGATTTCTGGTTTAACTATGGGGATTATTATGCCATGTTCAGAAGCCTGGTACAAGTAGATGAAGTCCTTGTTCTGAGTGTCAACTTCTACATATTGACATGCAGTCCGTGTTCCATAGACTATTTGTAAATTGAATTGTGCTTCCATATAGCAAGAACTATATGGAGCATAAAGGCAACCATGCTCTCAAAGGCCTGAGATATGAAGTCAGAAATGATATCTTATAGTTTAGTTTTTAATTATACTTTTACCATGTCATGATATGTTTTTAAATTTTGACCTTTTTTATGGTTGAGGTGTTTAAGTTCAATGAGTTCCTGCCTAAGGCTGAGGAGTTACTGCTTTGAGTATGCCCAGCGGTTTCCATCTTTGTGTCTGTTACTAAATTTATAAGATTTGTGTTAGATAACAGGTGCTTTCTTTTTCCCATTTTCTATTCTTTTTTTTCCCCCCACCTGAATGATGGACACATAGTGATGTAATTCAGTGCAATTGAAACTGGACTTTCAGGTGATGGGCACTGGTTCTGGGCACTAGGAGAGCATGGTTGTTCATCAGGGTGAGTGGTATACAAGTATCAGCATTCTTGGAGAAGGTGTGGGGCTGCCAGTGTGCTAAGGAACTTGCTGATGATTCAGATGTGAAAGTTAATGACTATAAGACAAAAACAAGGAATTAGAGGCTTGAGAGACATAGCAAGAAATGACTCATTTTAGTCACAAATCTGAGTTAGCTTTTTTGTAATTTCATCAGGATTTTGTAGCTACTAGAATACTCAGGAGCTTGTTGAATTAGTAGGATATAAGATAGGCACACACACAAAATAAATTCCTAAATGATGAAAAAAATCATTATAAAAGATTATTAATTATAGTGATTAACACCAAAAGGAATAAAATCTAATTTGGGATAAAATTAACCTAAGATCTGTAAGATCTAGTTACTGAGAGCTACAAAGTCCCACTGAGAAAAACAGATGACCCACATTATTGTAGTCCTTACCATGTTCATGAAATAGGCAACTAATTCAATAGTGATCATTTTTCCTAAATTGACCTACAAATTTAATATAATCTCTACCCACAGTTTGCCAAGTTTTTTGTTTTGTTTTTGTGTGTTGTTGTGTTCTTTGCTGGGGGATTTCAAGACAGGGTTTCTCTGTATAACATTTCCAGGCTGTTCTAGAACTTGCTTTGTAAACAAGGCTGATCTCAAACCCACAGAGATCTGCCTGCCTCTGCCGCCTGAGTGCTGGGATTAAAGGCTTGTACTACCACTATTCAGTGAGAAGGTTTTCTGTTTTGTTTTTGTTTTGTTTTTAATAGAGCTTGATCAACTGAATCTGAAATTTATGTGGTGGTACAAGTGGCATAGATTAGTTCAGTGATTCTCAACCTGTGGATTATGACCCCTTTGGAGGTTTGAATGACTTTTTCACAGGAATCACACTTCAGATATTCTGCTTATCAAAGAAATATTTATGTTTTGGTTCATAACAGTAGCAAAATTACAGTTATGGTAACAATAAAACAATTTTATGGTTGGAATTATATTAAAGGGCTGCAGCATTAGGAAGGATGAGAATTGCTGAATTAGGATAAATAGGATATTTATTAAATATAATATATTATACTATATAATATATTATATTATATATATTATATAATAAAATAAAAAGGGAAACAAAGTTGGAGGGCTCAACCCTTCTTGGTTACAAAACTTGGGTGAAGCTACAGTATTTAAGAGTATGGCACCTGCACAAAGACAGATATTCAGTTTAAGGAGCAGAAGGAAAAGTCTAAGAATAGATTGTCATGTGAATGTCGTCAATTGATTTCCACTAAGCATGTCAATACAACAGAGAAATGGTATTCTTTCAAAGTTAGTTCTGGAACAATTGGATTTGCACATACACATTTCAACCCTTTGTCTTTACATAACTCTACACAAAAATCAGTTAAAATTGATCATAATATTTGGACATTAAGGGAAAGAAGAATATAAGTTGAATGTCATCAAAATTAAATGTTTGCCCTTTAAAAGATGACATTAAGAAACAGATTTGCCAAGTATTTATGTACTAGGCCATGGAACCAGCACCTACAAAGAACTATTTCAAGAACTATTTCAATTTAACACACACAGAATAAGATTTGAGTAGACACTTTTATTAAAAAAAAGAAAGAAAAGAAACTAATGGGTAAATGAGTCCATTCAAAGACTCTTGACATAAAGCTACCACTTACAAAATAGAGATTAAAGAAACATTGTTTTCATTAGCTACCAAGGTAGTTGATACCAGGCTGTCAGTGCTAAGCTGTCAATATCAAGATGTGGCTGAGGGTGTGGAGAAAATGGAAAACTTGGGGTGCTGGTGGGAGCATAAAAATGTACTTTGGAGCAGTTTGGCAGTTTAAATGTTAGTATTGTGTTAACCTCAGGTACAGCTGTCTTAGTCAGTTTTCCACTATTGTAAAGAAACATGACTATGCTTAAAAAGAAAGTATTTAATTGGAGCTTGCTTACAATCAGAAGTTTAATCCATTATTGTCATGGCAATGCACAGGCAGACATGGTGCTGGAAAGGTGCCTGAGAGTTCTACATCTGGATTCCCAGGCAGCAGGAAGAGACAGTGGACCTGGCTTGGGTCCTTAAATCCTCAAAGCGCACCCACGGGGATGTACTTCCTCTAATAAAGCCACACCTACTCCAATAAGGTGATACCTCCTTATCCCTGTCAAGTAGCATCATTACTAATGACCAAATACTCAAGTCTATTAGCCTATAGGAGCCATTCCTATTCAAACCACCACACTGGCTTAAAGTATGTGGCTAAATGGTTGGGAGCCTAACCCTTAATGGCTAAGCTATCTCTCCATCCCTAGCTGGATAAATGGAATACAGACTGTCTATCCAGTGAATGGAAAACTACTCATGAGTAAGGAATGAATTACTAATATTTAATAGCATGGATGGATCTCAGATTTTATTAGTGGACAAAAGCCAGACTTCTGTTTTATGTGAGTTTCTAGAAAATGTGTAATTGTAGCAACAGGAAGTAGCTCAGAAGTTGCCTGGGGCTGGCTGAATCTTAAAAGGACTGTTTGATTATAAAGGATATGAGGAATCATCTTAAGAGGTGAAGAGATTCCTAAACTGACGTGGATTAGGGTTGTACAAATGAGTAAATCTACTTTACAAAAAAATGAATTGTTCATGTAAAATAAATTAGATGGTCAGTGAATTATACTCCAATCCCCAGACTCTAGCACACAGTGAGTCTTCAGTATTGCAAAGTTTCTGTGGTATTCCTTATCAAATTGATTGTTGGACCAGTAGTGCCAGATTAATGCATAAGCTCTCAACAATAAAATGTAAGTTGGAGGTTGCTGCTCCATTTT